CCTACGAGATTAGTATATAAAAGGGGTCATTCATCTGTAATTCATCAAGCAAAACAATCAAGTTCTCTACAATAAAAAGCTTCAATTTGGCAAATTTCTTTTGTCTTTCTTATTTAACATTCCCTTAGCAGTCTTGAGCGTAGTATTTTAGGTTGACTTGGCATAGCAGGATCGTGAACAAGTTGTCAAGTGCTGCATGTGTGCTTAGTTCAAGACTAAGGACGTGACAACGTGGTATCAGAGCAAATGTTATAACTAAAGGTGTCACGATCCAATCTCCCTCCGTAAGATGTCATGACGACACCTAGTATCTACAACTGGGTAAGCCTAACAATTGTGAAATAATTGAAATAAAAGCAGAATCAACAACTAATTTTCATCAGATAACAATATAACAGAAAAATGCCGCTCGGCATGTACAAGTAACCAACAGCTCGAGTATAACAATATTTTCAAAACCCGATAATCACAAGTCACAAGCTCTAAGAATTTGTGTTACTGTTTCTATACATCAGTAACTAGAAGAAATAAAGGAGGAACAACATGAAAGGGATAGATGGGGATTCCGAGGTCTGCGGACGCTGGCAGATATACCTTGAAGTCTCTGGAGCTACAACAAGTACGCAACTAATAGTGGGGCTGGTAAGAGGTACCTGGATATGCACACAAAACATGTGCAGAAGAGTAGCATGAGTACACCACAACGGTACCCAGTTAGGCTAACATGATAACTACACATGCTGGTATAACTCAATTAAGATGTAACAGGTTACTGCTAAGTAAAAACCGGGTTTTATAATAATTAGCCTATGTACGCGCTCGTCACCTCGCGTACACAACACTCACATATCACAGAAATATCACAACAGTACCAAATCCTAAGGGGATTTCCCCCACACAAGGTTAGGCAAGCCACTTACCTCGAACCAAGCTCAATCAATCAGTAAGAATGCTTTTTCCACGACTTTTCAACTACGAAAGGCCCAAATCTAGCCAAAAGCAATTACATACCGTAAATATAACTATAAGAAACTAGTCCAATTTATGAAATCAAAACTTTAACAAGAAATTAGAAAATCGCCCCAAAAGGTCGACCCGGGTCCATGTCTCAGAATCGGGTAAATATCACAAAATACGAACACCCATTCAACCATGAGTCCACCCATACCAAAATTACTCAAATCCGATACCAAAATCTCAATCAAAACCCAAAAATTCGGTTGA